CACCCACACCCACACCCCACTCACACCCACGCCCACACCATATTATCATCTGCCATTGAAGGACAGAAACATAATGAACGAAGTTCATGATTGGATTTATTAAGAATCTTCATTAAAATAATTCTTACAAATGATGTGATATCAATATTATTTTTCCAACCAACTTGAAGATACTGCATACGAGAAAATAAATCAATTAAAACAAAACTTTCTTCGATTTTTATCATATTTTCTAGATAAACTTTTGTAATTTTGTTTTTCTTTATTACATTATCAATAAATTGTATTTTTTTCCAGGATAAGCGTTTTGTTTTTGATAACGATAAAGACCATACTTTTAATGAATCGAGATTTGATAAAAAATTGATGATTTTGATTAATGTATGAATAGGAATTCGTCGTTGACAAAACTGTAAATGGTATATCGTTGTTACAGTTGTCACCCAAATGATATTTTCATATAATAATTGGAGATACCCAGAAAAATGTCTATTATTAATCGTCAGTATAGAAGAAGTACATATAGGTTTTTGTTCAATTGAATGCATGGAATTCATTTCACTTTCTGCAGAGTCATACCAAGTTATTCTAGAAAAAAGGAAAAAGAATTAATTTAATAGAAAAGATTTTTTTATTATTATACTTGTGTGGATAAATTGAATAAATAATTTCATCAGTATAAATTTCAGCATGAAAAATCCATTGCCGTTCAATCCAAAATGATGATGTAAATTGATTACCTTGCCAAAGATAATTTCTAGATCTGTTATCATAAACAATAGATTCAAAATGTTTTAGGTAAAATTTTTCTAGATTTGGAAAATGTTGTAAAATTAATCGTTCCCAAAGATGAGATACAAGATAAATAACATCATTGGATTGACTAGTAAGACGAAGAAATTTTAATTTCGAAGATATTTTCTTAGGAAATTTTATAACTTCATCATAATCTGAACGAATGATCTTTAAAGAAATACGTGTTAAATTGGATAATGTTATTGGTAATATTATTTCAACATTTGAATCATGATCTGATTGATGTTCAAAACACAAATGGCAAAGGTGAGGTGTATAAGAAAGTATAGTAGCAAGGTGATCAAATGTACAATAATGATCAATGACAAGGTGTTTCACAGTACTAAACTGTTGGTTCGTCGTAGCAAATGGCCACGATACTATCCAATCTTCTGACTTTATTTTGAAATATTTTAATATAGGTAAAGCAAAACCCAATCGATAGACGTCACTTAAATCAGTCAAAGTTTCATCTGCATGAACATTTAATGATAAAAGACGAGGTAAATAAATAAAATGATGAAGAAGTGATAGAAGAAAATATTCTTCCATAAAATGAAGAGTGATTGATTCGAGATAATTAAATGATGAATTAATAATAAATGTTGAAAGAAATTCATCGATGTATAATCCTGACCGTAGATCAAGTGATAATATTTGATGTTTATTCATAAGTCTAACTTGTTTAGAATAATTCATAAATATTTTACTAGATGAAGAATCAAGTTTAATCTTGAATCGAAGAGATGAACATTGAAGACATTTTTCGAAACGATGATTAAGATTTGAAAATGCTTTATATATATCACAACCATCGAGATAATCGAATATTTCATAAAAAATTTCATTAGATAAATTTTCAATACAAGTCATGACCATCGCTTAGATGAAACGAAAGAAAAGATATGATATATCAGTTACTTCGTAGTTTTAATGTTTAGTGCGAGATGTTTTGTTTTCTTTAACAAACAAGATGATCATGTGATTATCTGATCGTTTTTCTTTTTTTTCTTCTTTTCTTTCTACATAGAATACATCCAATGATTCATTCAACATGATTTAGTTTAACACGAAAATAGTATCGATAGAGTATAGTTCGAAAAGTGTTTGGTGTTTTTTCATATTTAATATCGACCATAGGAAAAATGTGAATCGTATACAAGTCTAACAGTCACCGTTTTCTGATCCTAACTAAATATTATAGATCTCTAAACGTGCTATATGTGACAATAACAATCGTTCGTATTGATTCATCGGATGTTTTATAACCATAGTCAGAAATCTGTATCAAGTTGAACGGAATAAAAACTATGATGAATCGGAAGAATTAGTTTTGAATTGTCAATTTCTCACGGATTTTAGCCATAAATAGTCATTGAAGAAATTATGAATATCGTCAAAATTTTTAAACTTTGAAAAACCAAGAACGAATATATTTCTATATGAATGATTCTGAGTAGAAAGAAATGAGTAACCATTTTCTTTTGTATATTGCTCCTGATAGTTACTATTGTGCATGGAAGCGTGACTGAAGATAATGGTATTTCTTAGGAGAGAACCAGAAAAAACCAACTGATTGCATCAATAATTCGATGTTTTATGATGTATAGTTTTTCTATCGCCAATTAATTGTTTAAATTCGATCATTGCTTCTTTTAATGTGAAGTACCTACGAATATATGCCTCTCAGCGCACGTCGCTTGAATTACAATGAAAAAAAAGATGCGAAACAAATTCTCTGAGGTTTTACAAGCCTTGACTATACCTTCAGACTATGATACTTTTCTTTCTGGCTCTTCATAAGAGAGATATCTATATGAAAAGCATTGAATATATTGCCATCATAAATTTTTCGCTAAACTCTGTGCTCGAATTTCATGAATTGTTTTAATCATGGGTTTCCTATAGCTTTTGCGACGTTGGTTGTTTGAGTTCATTAACATAGAAAAATAGCTAAACCTTTTTGTATGATAGAAGGCTTCTCCAGCAAGCAGATCTAAATTATTAAAATTTTTTTTTCGGGTCATTTATCAGTACGAACATAGATATAAATATAGATATATAAATAGAGCGATAGACATATTATCAGATCAGATATGCGAAATCAGATATAGATTCACGGCATTATACACAGATATAAAATAAGAATTTAGACATGGAATTAATCAGCTGTGCTAGGCTAAGTGTGTTGAATAGACTAGTTTTTTTACCAGGTTAGAATCATTTTCGGAAGAAGAAAAAGAAGTTCCAAATAGAATCATATTTTGGTGAAATCTTAAAAGGTTCATATGGCGTAGTCATAGAATCGAATTACCATAGACACTCGATATCTCAAGAAGAATACATTCGTTTGAGCTGAAAATATTCGGATATTCTGGTGGCTGTGAGACCTGTCTATGGACAAAATTTCAGGTAAAAATTTCGCAATTCAGTTTTCCATGAATAGCTGGTTCAGGGCCGAAAACCCACTAAAAGGGTCATAACTCTGGCTAGTTAGCACATGAGCCTGAATCTTTTTATGGTTTTCTTAATTGCACTGAGTCCTACTTATAGCCAAAATATAGGTCGAACGGTGTCTGACTGTTGTATATGTTCTCTCGCTAGTCTAGTGTGAATTTCTTGTCATATTATATATCAGCAGAAGAACAAAAAGTACAGTAGACATGCAAGTCAATGTCTGTTTGACAATTCTAAGTATTCAAATAAGTCAAATTTTACAAATTGAAAATATTAGACAATGAAGGACGTAGATATAGGTGTAAAAAATAGATTGAAAATCTATTTTATTGCAAATTATTTTCTTTAAAATTGGATTCAAATTAGAACCGTAAATGTCTAGAATATATTTCACATTTTTAACCGGTTTTGAAATGAACAATAGTGGCATACACAAGTACAATTATAAATACCATTTTTCTTTCCGACGTGTTGTAACGACTTTTCTCGTATGCATTATATTTTCAGTTCCTTGTTCTTTTCAAAAAAAGAAGAGCCTAGTAAAGAAGGTAGGTGGACATCTTTTCTTTTGATATCAATAAAAGGTGCGTGTTGTCACTTTTTGGAAGAATCAAAAAAAGTGCGTTGTCCGCGTGTGTGAAAGATGAAGACTTTAGTCAACATATGCTTTCTTTGTTTCTTGCTGCTACCGTTGAAAGTCGATTTAATTCGCCTAATCGCTGTTGGTCACCGTCAATCAATTGAAGCATCTGAGAACTATAGCACATGGTTTAATCAGTTCAATCGTACTGATTTCTATCAATTGCAATCCCATGAAGGAATCCTCTTGGTTTTTGGTGAACTAACAGGTCTCACTTCTGCTTTTATCGGGACACGTGGCCAAGCCGCTCGTATGCAATCAAGTACAACTGAAAATGCCTTTTCTTTGTTAAGCATATCCTATGAGAGACAGATAACATCTTATTTGAATAAATATCCAAGTATTTCACTCACAAATGCACTCGAATTATCATTGAGTGACGTCATGTGGAGGGCATTCAATGAAACATTTTCATCGTTGGCTCGATTACTCAATGCGACGATTGTTTCAGCTACATTTGGCCCGAGAATTATTAAATCTACCAATCCAGAAGATATTCAATTTTATGGTGATCCTGATCTTTATCCGAATCAAACCGAAGTCTATCTACCATTAACAAAAGATATTTATAATACGGTTCATGTTTATGCGCCAAATGGTAGTCTAATTGCCAGTCGGGATAAATATCATTTAACTTCAGAAGAGATTGAATTGTTACAACTAACACCAGGAAAACTCGAAGAGAATCGTGTCATTGAACCCAATAATTTATGTATCGCCATCTGTTTGGATGCTTTTTTCTTGGATATTTTATCGTATCTTGATTCTCAAAACTGCACCATACTCATTCAACCTTCATATAATTTTGGCATGTGGGCGTCAAATTTCTCCTCGGAATCTTCATTCTGGCAACCACTTGATTGGACAAACGGTCCATTAGCTCTGTTTGAAAAAACACGAAATATTCAATTTTCTATCAATCCAATGGTCACTGGAAATCTATTTAGTGATATGATCGTTGATGGACAAACGACAATCAATCAACGTCTATCAAGGAAAACAAGACCACTAGAAAGTCACGATTATTTATATATTGGTTTGGATCTCGACGATGTGCAGAATATCAGTGAATTTCAAACATTGGCATTGGCCCAATGGGCTCGAGATGATCCAAGTGGAGCCAATTTAACGAAACAAGAAAGACGAGAGTTACTTCATCAGTATGCCCTGGAATTGGCTCCTAATTCAAAGTCAAAATATGAAAATCAATATGTTGACACAGTCATATGGACTGATGTGACACTCTAGATAATCTGTTTACCGGCATCTAGGCTTTATAGTATTCCGGCTAAAAAATAAAGACATTCAATTTCGATTATATTATTTCTCTGTCTCTTGATATAAATAAAGGAAGAAGCAAAAGCAAATAGAAGGATGTGGGTGTGGGTGTAGCTGTCGCTCAAGAAATGACGCATCTACACTCACACTTACACCCTCGCTCACAAAATTTGCTCCTTTTACTTTTTTAATAAGTGTATGCTATATTTTATCGAAATTGATCAGCTTTCTGAGGCAGGAATAGTGCGAACCAGAGTTGAACAACTGAATCCAGAAAGGGTGTGGGTGTGGGTGTGTGGGTGTGGGTGGGGGTGGGGGGGGGG